AAAAAAAAGCGAGCCAGCCAATAAAATAAAAAATTACCATGTTATCAAATAATTGAGATGTTCATTACGAACTGTGACATTCGTCTGACCTCCAATAGGACCACCAGGAACAGTCGATTCTCAAGAATAATAAAGAATCAAAAGATGAAACCAATGAGCGCGTGCAATGAATAATCAATCAAATAACAAAGTTTTGAACAAAAACGAATAAAAATCAGCTGACAACAAACCATAAGTAGCCTCCAGATATATTGGTTCAGTGCCATAACACCGAGCCATTGCTTCAAAATCTTTGTAGTACCAAATGCCTCGCTCAGGAATATTATTCGAAACAAATTGCGGTCGCTACAAACAACAACATTTTGCGATGATGTGCTCATTTCTATTTTAGCACATCTTGAGTAAATACGCTAATCATATCCAGACGAATCAAGGAACTGGAAACAATTAAGTGAATGACAGAAATGATATTACCTTTTCTGAGCGTCTCACAACTGCATCGAAACTTACTCTTCCTTTGATCTGAGAGTCAGATCGAGTTGTCGGAGAAATTTTCCCGGTTGGTACCCATCCTCGATTAATCAGTATCACTCGGCTGAAATTCAAGATCTAACGCAAATCAGTCAATCGACACCCCATCGACATTCACTGCTCATATCCCTTCAATTAATCTTTGCCGACACNAAACATACCCGCTTTCGGCCAGCTTGAACGGCGTAATAATGTGCGCTCCATGACTTGACATAGCGCTGTTGGCAACCAGACCACTTTTTGCTTCTTTATGACCTCAACAACAAAAGAATTTCCTTTCAGAAGTATATCTTTCACTAAACATTTGCTTAGAATCTCCTTCTTGACAGGTCATTTCTATGAAAATATGCCTCAACAATGGACAGATCTTTTATCCGTGTGAAACATGACGATATACGAGTCAAATAAAACTGAGTATTTCAACTGAAGAACAAATAAAACAACGAACTGACAAAAAAAAAGACTACTGATCACTGCGCATAATTCAGACCTTTATCAAATCTGCCTCGAGGATGTATGGAAAACTCTCGATCGTGAAGAAATTCTCCAGTCACATGAACTCGTCTATATTCTAGATCATTTAACAATTCCGTGCTAAAATATAATTCACATGGAAAAGCACAGGACTACTGACAAGATTTTCAAGAACACAACTTACTCATGCTCAGGAAATGGTATCGCTTCCATATTCATCTGGGTTTTCAGCATTTCAATTAGATCCAGTTTCCATTTCAAACGTTTTACCTGCCAACATCCCAAAGCAAACGCTGTTGCGGGGAGCATCTTGAATATCAGTTCATTGTTACCAATCGTTCAATCAAAATCACGATAGCGAACAGAAGATGATCGAATCAAGATTTGATTTCCGTAAGAATCAACTAACCAATAAGGCAACTGAGCCGACAGACCATCGAATTGAACCNGTTTGAGTTTGTCCCATCGTCATCCTCTGGCGCTAGTCGCTTACCCAACTTAACAACAACAATTGTTTCATGAATTTTTGACAAATTCCACTTTGATAATCAGTTCTTGACAACATTTCTACAGTGCACCTGTCCCAAATCACTAACACTGCCTTCAAGCACCTTGACCAGATTTAACTCATACCAAATTTCAATCACTGTTGAGTGATCGAGAATAAAAGAATTCTGACCTGCGGAAAATTGGAATCACGTATGATATTTTGGAAGTAGTTTGAATGCGAGAGAGAAATACTTCAACCAATTAAAAGACATCACAACCGGAGAATATATGAAACAAAATTGACGAAGAAATACCTCAATGATCTGCGGATTCCGCTTGGTAGTCGCGAATATGATTTGATTTTGTTTTACATTGACTGATGACGAGACTAAGGAACGATTCAAAAGAAGAACCAATCCATTTGACGTTGTGAGCAAACGATAAATGCGCAAAGGAGGCTTAATTGAGCAGGCACACATTGAATAGTATCCTGCAAGCTAAAATTTTTTCAATATCGTGGAATTAAACATCATCTCAACGGCTGTATCTGTCATCAGTTCGGTTCACTTCGCCATATGCGCGTGTCGGCGGAAGGAGGGCGGAGTCACGACC